TCTAATGGTATTCAAACTGGGCTTTCATATCCCCTCTTGGGCAATGTGCTTCACTCCCCTTGCTATGAAGAGGGTTTTTTTCACTATGTCTGATGAGAATTTCCCTTCTCATAACTTGTGCCTGCTGCCTCTTATGCTTTGGCTGTGCCCCTCTGAGAAGACTGGGCCCAGCCCGCCCCACGCAGCCTCGCAAGCTCCAGTGCAGGGAAATAATGGCTTCCTTCAGCCTGGTGGCCCCCTTGCTGATCCCCACCCATGTGCAGCCTCCTAACTGCATCAATATTAGGACACTAAACTCAAGGTACTGGCCCAGCAATGACCACCCACAACTGGCCCATAAACAGGCTCTGAGGTGCTGGTTGCCAGCCTGGGTCCTGATGGCCTAGTCTTTCACTTGTGTGGCAGTCCCCAGGCCTGTCCACACAGCCCCAATTGGTCATGCAGGTGCTAAGGGAAACCAGGACACAAGTCTCACTAGGTCAAGGTGGACAACAGTTGCCACCCCTTCATCTGCAGGGAATAATCCCTTGAACACATAAGCACCTCCCATTTTTTATATTTTTTGCCTTCTGTTTACATTATGGACTTGTAAATTCAAAGACTGATAAGACAGGGTTATGAGTCATATCAGGACCTAGCAGGCAACTTTCTTCAGCCGTTTGCATTAAACATGTTTTGACTTTTTTTTAACTGCTTTGTGCAAATAAACTGAAGGTACTTTGTACGCATTAAGTACAAATAAAAGGACAGTGCTCCTGAAGTTGAGAACCTCCTGATGGCTTTTGTTCTAAATCTAAATCTTAACCTAATTTCCTAAATCAAACAATGAAATAAGTGAGTACAGTGAGCAGGAGTCCTCCTGTGACACAGGCAGAACACCAGCTATGGTGGGAACCAGAGATGTGAATGAAAACTGCCTGAGGGCGGAAGTATGGAGTGAGCACTGATTGGGTGATGTCGTTCTCTGGTATGCAAATTGCTTGTGCTTACTTAGGAGCAGGTAGGGGTGTCAAAGGTCGGGTGAGAAGATTCTGTGCAAAAGCACCAAATGAAGAAGAAATAGAGGTGTAGAGTCAGAAGAGAGACTTGAGATGCAAGACTACTTCCATCTAGATATATCAGTAATTACATGTTAAGCTGTAATTGCCTAGGAAATGGTGTAAGAAATACCAAAGCTGGGGATGAGTGTAATAGATTTGGGATCAATGAGGAAAAGGAATTAGGAGTGAGTTGTTTATTTGTGGGGAGTTTGGGCAGAGGAAAGAAGGTGCAGGGCTGGTGAAAAGGTGAGTTCAAGAAAAGTCAAAAATAGGGGAGGTAAGGTATAAAATGAAGTAAGAGAGCAAGAAATGGGAAGATCTTGTGACAGGAGCAGTGTGGCTGCCTCCAGGCAGGGGTGAAGTTGGTCTGTGGGCCCAAGCTCCCAGGATGCTGGGGGCAGCTCTTGTGGGTAGCCCATTAGACTGCCCACCAGAGTGTGTCCATGTTTGAAAGACAGTGCAGGAAGGAGGCATAAGAAGACATAAACTTGCAAGGAAGGATAGACTTGTACCTTAATATTCAGTGCAGGAGGCAAGACAGCAGAACTGCAATTTAATAGCACTTACTAGTGGTTTTTCAGTTTTCTTTATAATAACTTAACCAACATATTAATGTAACCACTAAGTAACAGAATTGTAACTCAATATTACTTGAAATTACTTAATTGTGAAGTAAAATTGCTAATAATAGTGGTGCTTTTATTAGCCAGTTAAAGTATTAGCTTTTTTATTTTAAAGTGCTGCCTACTCAATAAACATTATAATCATCCTAATCAGTTACATCTCAAGTTTCCAAACTAATGGAGAGAGGTGAACTTAGGGAGTAATGAGTACATTAGCAAGACAGGAGACAAGCTGACTTTTTTTTTTTTCTAAGAAGGAATTTTAAAAATTATTTTTTGCCTAGTGCTTTTGATACTAATATGTGGATAAGAAGATAAAGTTACTATCTTGTCAATCTTAGTTCTCTTTCTAAAGTAGCTGGAGGCTGTACTAGTATTGACACCAGAGTGAAATGGGAGGGTGGAAGTGGAAGAATGCAGGTTGATAACCCAGTGCTCAAGTTTCATATCTTAAAGGCAGTTGCCTGATAGAGACTGATGGTATGAACTCCTGCTTAAAAAATAAGTAAATAAAAAAGTCCTAGATTGTTACTGGACAGCCAGTTTGGAAAAAAAATAAAAATGATGCTGCTAGTGAAGATAGAATTGTTTATTGACAACCTGATGCTGCTTCTGCGTCCAGCTTTGGAGTCCCCAACACAAAAAGGACATTGAAATGCTGAGGCGGGTCCAGAGGAGGCCACAAAGTTGATCAAAGGGCTGGAGCACCTCTCTTACAAAGAAAAGCTGAGAGAGTTGGGGTTGTTCAGCCTGGAAAAGAGAAGGCTCCAGGGGGACCTCACAGTGACCTTCCAATACCTGAAAGATGCCTGTAAGAAAGCTGGGGAAGAGCTGTTCACTAGGGCATGTAGTGATAGGATGAGGGGTAACGGTTTTAAACTAGAAAAGGGTAGATTTAAGTTGGATATTAGGAAAATGTTCTTCAAGATGAGGGTGGTCGATCACTGGCACAGATTGCCCAGAGGTGGTGGAGGCCCCATCCCTGGAGATGTTCAAGGTCAGGCTTGATGGGGCTCTGAGCAACCTGATCTGGTAACAGTGTCCCTGGTTACTGCAGGGGGGTTGGACTGGATGATCTTTAAAGGTCCCTTTCAACCCAATACATTCTATGATTCTTAATACATGTCAATTTAGAAATGAGGTGTTTAACTACTCCTACCTTTATGGAAAGGAAAAAACTATCAAGCCAAACTTCCATCACTTCAGCTGTTATCATGCTAGTTAGCTATTTTGTAGCATTGCCTAATGCTGACAGTTCTTAAAACAGTTCAGAAAAAGATACATATCATACTGAGAACATTGATGTTTATGTATTCTTATGGCATTTTACTATGATCCATAAAGCAGTTATAAAAAGCAGTATATGTCAGGGCATGGGATCTTTATTGCCTCTTGCCCTGTCTCATGGCCAATGGCAATGGCTCTGAGGAGAAGCATTTCTAACATATGTGATGCCATGCATGCTGCAAGGCCACTCATATGTACCCCAGCTATACAACCTTCCCTAATTTCTGGCTATTATATAGAGAAATTAATTTCTCTGAATAAAAATGTGTTCTAGATTTTAATATTTTTTAAATTTCTAGGAAGAAATAATAGGAACACACCCTTTGTGAGAGGTACTGGTAGTCTGTGGAGAACAGAAGATATGGCTGTAATTATGACCATGTCCCTGAGCTCTACCTTAAGAGAAGCTGTTTAAGACTCAGGTTACTCTATAACCACCTGGAGCTGACAGCAGCTTCTGTGTATACCAGCTGACCAGGACATGGCCTGCAGCCATCACATTCATTTCTAATGACATTGGAAAGTGACAGCCTTCAGTAGCAGCTCAAACAGTGTACCTGCCAGAGTCTCTCTGCAGGGGTTTCTCCCAGGCCATGTGAGGCAGTTTTATGATTGTGTGTGTTTCAGCTGGATGTTCAGGAGCTACAATACTTGGGTACGGTTTGGCATGAGAAAGCAACAAGATACAGCTATTGCTTATGAAGCAGCATTTATGCACCATGGACTCTACAGATTCAATAGAAAATACAGACCCTATTTCAAGTTGTTTTAAAGCTAATTCCATTTCACATTAAATAGTTCAGATGTGTGACAAATTGACAATGTGATGGCAGTGAGTATACAGTAAAATAAATTATAAAAAACCTGATCTCTACTCTGCCCTGGTGAGACCGCATCTGGAATATTGTGTCCAGTTCAAGAAGGACAGGGAACTGCTGGAGAGAGTCCAGCGTAGGGCTACAAAGATGATCAAGGGAGTGGAGCATCTCCCTTATGAGGAGCAGCTGAGGGAGCTGGGGCTCTTTAGTTTGCAGAAGAGGAGACTAAGGGGAGACCTCATTCATGTTTATAAATATTTAAAGGGTGAGTGTCACGAGGATGGAGCCAGGCTCTTCTCGGTGACAAACAATGATAGGACAAGGGGTAATGGGCACAGACTGGAACACAGGAGGTTCCACTTAAATTTGAGAAGAAACTTCTTCTCAGTGAGGGTGACAGAGCACTGGACCAGGCTGCCCAGAGAGGTTGTGGAGTCTCCTTCTCTGGAGACATTCAAAACCCGCCTGGATGCCTTCCTGTGCAACCTCATCGAGGTGTTCCTGCTCCGGCAGGGGCATTGGACTGGATGATCTTTTGAGGTCCCTTCCAATCCCTAACGTTCTGTGATTCTGTGATTTTCATTAATACTCAATGTTGCCCACATATCCCCACCAATTCTACAATCTAGAGCTCAGAAAGCAGTAATCGGGAAAGCCTGAAGTTACTGTCTCGGCCAATCAGTAAATATTAATGTAGTGCTTTGGTATCATTGAAGATAGCTACCAAGCTCCTATGAGCATGCGATACTGAAATGCATCTGGCTAGGTTAGGCCCACATCCCTCTGGCCCTAAGTTGGCCTTATTAAATGAGAGCATAGCAGATAGGCAGTTTCTGTAGGTAACATCAAGAGTTACCTACATTTGACTTTCCTCATTTCACAACCCACACTCCTACCCCTAAAAATACGTATGCTTCACCCACAGAACCATTACCTCACAGCCTTTTATTTCCTTTTCATTTTGGCTTGAATCTTCTAACCTACTTAAAAAAAAAAAAAATTCCCCAGCAGGCTGTTATCTCCGGTTCAAGCACCAGGAAGGTGTGCTGGGGCTGTCATGGAATTTGCCATGGGGAAAACCGCTGATGACAGTGGAACCCGCCCGCGCGTGAATTCCCGCGGCTCCTGCCACCCCTTTATAAGCAGGTGGAGGTGCGGTAAGGCTGGCAGGGTGAGCAGGCGGCAGTCAAGCACTCACTGGAGCACAGCTGCTGCGTGGAGTGGAAATGGAAATGGCTGGCTTTGGCAGCAAGAGCTTGGTCCTGGCTTCCCTGCTGGGGTTCTTGGTGCTGCTCCTGTGCAGCACCTCTGAAGGTGAGTGAGCTTGGGTGCTCGGCGCCTGGAAGCAGTTCTTGGTGCCACCCTGCAGCGTGCCAGCGATGCTGGGCTGTGTGTGCTTGCAGCTGGCAGCAGGACAAGGATGAGATGGAAGAGAATTATTTGCTACCTAATCCTCCTCTTCTGTTGATTGGGAGCTGGATAGACAGGGAACTGAACAGCAAGTACCCTACACAGCATGGCAGTGTGCTCCAAATGAGTTTCATTTACCTTGTCATTTTCCTTCATTCCAGCACAAAGCAATCAGGATTGCTGCCTGTCTTACACCAAAGTGCGTCTGCCTCGGAGGGCCCTAAAGGGTTATACTGAACAGCTCTCCAGTGAAGTCTGTGATATCCATGCGATCATGTAAGTTGTTTTTCAGAAGATCCTTTGTTTTTTTCTGACATTTATTAAACTTACGCTGTTTGTTTCATTTGAACATAAGCATAATCTTTCTTGCTTTTTCAAAATATTCTATTAACTGAATAAATTGTATGTAATACCTGTAAAAGAAATACAAGACCTCTACTTGATAGGGACTACCAACTCATAGGACAGCTGTACAATGTAAATAATAAATTACTGTTTAGGAATCAGCTGTGTAAACAAAGAAATACTTTGTCTCCAGCTGAGGGCCACTTTAGCCAATGCAGGTGCTCCCTTGCCAAAACTTGTTAACAGACACGTAAGAGTTTCCCTAATTCACAGAGATCAGATTTTTTTTTTTCCTGCAAGGTCTTGGCCTTCCTATGTGTTTCTTTTTGTTCATATAGTATTGGATGGGTTGTAGAGCATCCGATATCTAACTGCCATTTAAAAAAGTAGTTGCTATTGTTCATTACATAGAGTTACTATGATGCATGTTGTTGACCAAACGATGGTATTTACTAGCAGGGCTTTTTAATGATCTCTTTATCATTATTTCTTCTTCAGTTTCCACACCTACAGTGGGCTGAAGGCCTGTGTAAACCCTAGGGAAGGCTGGGTGAAGAAGCATCTTCTTTTCCTGAGGTAAAAACCTTAAATACTACTAGGCTGATGAAACAGCATGCATGAAAGCCTGTTTCTTACATCTCTTGTATGCCACATCTGATGGCAATGCTGAACACATTTGTCTTGCCATCTTCTGTCAGACGTGGCTACTGCTTTTTAGTGTCTTCTCGGGGACAGTCATGTCACATGTTCCTTTTTCTACCTGAGCTATTCTCTCAGGAGGTACTAAATCTTGGAGACAAAAACCTATAATGGACTTGTGGCTGGGGTCATTATTTATGTTTGTCCTCTCGTTCTTTTAACAGCCATAAGCTCAAGAAGATGTCAATGTGATACGGTTTCCAGTGGGGAACTAAACACAGACGTGGCTGAAGAACTACTAGGTTCAACCTCTTGGTTGAGATCATCATCTTGTACACTGTTGTGTGCTTACTCACCACTATCTCTGGCTTCTTTGGAACCGTTGAACTCCTTTAGTTGATTCATATTGCATCACTGTTTTGCTTGAATTAAGCATTTTGTTAAAGTTCCTACTTTTACTAATACGTTATGTTACTAATATGTCATGAGTACTATCTAGTAATGTTACTAATATGTCATGAGTACTATCTAGTAATGACTAACTTAAGCTGTTGTACAGAGTATGAATTTTATTAAGCATACTGCATGTTATTTTTGTTTTGTTCAGCATGTGTAAAGCAGGTTATTTATTCTGTTTATTTTGTTACTTCTCTGGCAGTCTCATGCCACAATGTTTCCTTTTAAATGTAGTTAGCATTAGAATACCTTTTGAACTATTGTTAAACAAAGTCTGCTTGTGGCAAAAAATGGAAATTGAAGCTAAAAAAAAATTATAAAATCTGCACTCTGTGTGATGTGTTTATTTTTTAATTGAAAAAGGTGTCTTTCTCTGATGAAAAGAGACTCAACTGCAGAGTTCAAATTAACAATTTATTTGAACAACATGTGCATATCCAGTATGTCCCTATTGCAGGTTCTATGGATACAATGGAGAATGTGCTATTGCAGTTTTAAAAGCAGGACTACACTATTACAACCACAAGAGATCCACAAAGTGCACTATTGCAACTACAACAGTCACAAAATGCACTATTACAGCCCACAGGCAATTCATGGCAGGCCCCAGACCACTCACAAGACTCACTGTTACTGCCCATAACATAACCACTGCCAAATCATAACAAGTCCCAGGCTACTCACAAAATTCACTATTACAATTCCCCGGTGATTCATGGAACACACCACCACAACTCACAAACAACTCAGAATAACACACGTGTGTTAGTGAATCACCTGCAACTACAAACTTAAAGCATGCCAAATATTCACTTACTCCTCCAGGTAAGGGCTCCTACGTAAGTTACCTTGGTCTTCCAAGGGGGAAGGATCTCATCGCTCCATGGCTGGAGAATTAAGACCCCATTTCTAGCAGTAGTCTTAGGATTTTTATTTTATTTTTATTTATGTGACAGCAGGCAGCAGTGTGCCCAAGTGGATTAGACCACCTGGGGTGTTTGTCTTTAGCAGTGTTTTCTCTTATCTTTAGTTATTCATGGGTGATGTCCCCTTCTGTATCCTCTATTGTTTGCATATCTCTGTATTTTTTGGTCCCTTGGAGCCAGGCAGAAATCCTCCAGCTTATCTTTGTCTTACATTTAGACAACTGAATAGTGGTTGGATTTGGACTCAGGGCATACTATTAGTTGGGGGATTTCAAGACTTAACTCAGGTTTCAGTTCTTTGAACGATGCAGCACTGCCCTGTTCAGTTTTGTGCTTAACAGACAACTCAGGGCTGAGCTATCTACACAGCTCCCCATGGGTCATCTCTGCAGCGACAGGACCTCAAGGCAATCCAAGGCTGAGTTGCTCCCGCAACCCCCCCCATGTGTCACCTGGTGCACTAGACATTACTAAAACCTGTTTATACTATGAGCCAGAGCAATCCTTACACTTCCCCTTGAAATGAATTCCTTTGCTTATAAGCGTCCAGCTGAAAAAAATATGCAAATGTTAACACTTGTGAAAGCCACTTTCCACCTTGCTCATCCTATGGGTTTGCCCTATGGGTAGCTATGACCTCCACAGGATATAATTACTTCCTCTTCCCCACACAGCTGCTATATGTGAAGATTTTGCTTAACATGAAGACCTGTTCTTAGCTCAATTTCATCTTAATCAAGCTTGAGAGAATTTCACTGGTTTCTCTATTTCTTCAGGAGAAATCTTACACATTGTTAAGGGCAAGCTTTTAGCTCGTCCAATGAGAAGGATTATGATTATGGTAATGCAGTCTGCTCTCAACTTAAAGGGTTATCTCTAAAGGAGAAACTTGCAGTGCTGTCCCTCCCTTTATGTGTTTCCTATAGTATCTTATGACTTCTAGCCAAACGAGGTTTTCCTGATGTAGTATCTCTTGATGAAGGTCTGCAGACACTACTGCAGTACGAATGACACCTGATAAAAGTGATGGGACTTCATGGAGTAGGTAGGACTTGGGTGCAGGTTGAATGGGGAAGGCTGTTCAGCTTTTTAGGGCCACATGGACTTCAGGGATGTGACCGTGTAGGCTGTGTAGGTGTAGCACCAGAGTCTTGCAGATAAATCTATGCCTCAGATTTTGGTACCTTTTAGTCATAGAGATAAAAAGCATTTTTGATGTCCTTGAGAGAGGAGCTGTGAGATGTTGTGTTTTTCTAAATTGTGTTCATGAGTGTACAGCTGTTATTTTCTGGTTTCAAAACTTGCTAACACTTAAACAATCTGCTTGTGGCTATGCAAATCCGGGAATTGGGGATTCTCTGTGGGTAAAGCTCTGAAGGAGTAAGATTAATTTGCGTTAATTTCCAGCAGGTGGATTCCATGTCCCTGATATTCAGGAAGAAGCTATCAATCTCTAAGGGAGGAGGCATGGTTCTTGGGGATTCCCCTAACTTCTGGGCAAAACTGCAGAGGTCTGCCTCGTACCTGGCCTGCGTAACTGCTGCAGGCTCCTGTCTGGGTTCAAAGACCTCACAGGATAAATCAGGCACCACCAAAGTGGTATGGACACAATGAATAGACTCATGTTAAAAGCGTCAGACAGTGAGGCTCCCCAGGCCTACCCTGGGAATAGGTGGAGATGTTAGGAACCAGACCTGGATATGAACTTGATGCAGAAAAGCCTGAAGTCCAAGCTAGTCACTTTAAAGCAAGAGAGCAAAATAAGAAAGTAAAGACCAATGTGTGAAATTCTGTGGGTGGCTCTTTGTACTCCTAGGTCTGTTAAAAGTTTTGTGTTGCTTCTGCAAAACCTCTTGTCAGCCATGGCTTCATTGCCACAAAACCCCTCTTCATCCATAGAGACTTGTGGGATTTTAATTTTTTTTTAGTTCTTCTTATTCTAATTGAATATTTTATAACCAACCTCATGAGAGGGAAAAAAATATTTAAAAATTTCTTTCTACGCCTGATAACACAGATCGATGAGGTTGTTACATTACTGGTAGGAGATTCCATGTAAAAAAAGCATGTCCCTCCCTATTCCTGAGGATACAAACAGCCATTATAAGCGAGTGCTGTATCTCCAAAATCACCAGATTTGAGGCACATTTTTGTAAATGACCTTAAGTGGCTGGTTAAAAGTTCTGACAGCTCTGAAAATCATGACCATTTCTAGGAAAACCATAATCCTAATTTCTTTGGTGGAGCTGTTCTGAATCTGTGTAGGTAAGTTACATTTTCCTCTATATCTTTGGCCCTAATTCACCACATGCAATTTCATTGAATAACTTCAGGTGCAGTATTACATGGTCATTTGGGGACTTTTTATTTCCTTTTATATTTTTATTTATATATTTTATATATTTAT